ATGTTTTCAATGGTGGTCTAATATATCGATAAATGAATTAATATATAGGGAGGTAAACTACATTGCCATTGAGAAGTCAAGATACTTTTCGGTTATTATCTAACGTGACACACTACCATTGACAATCCATCACTACTAGTGATCAACATGTGAATTATTAACGGATTTATATTCAGAATGACTATCTCCATCAACATGTTTGAAATCACGCAAAAGTACTCTTCAAGCACCCACTCTTTTAGATAACATTTCAGAAATCTACGAACCTTCGTCAGTACGCTCTTAGAAATCTAAAAGCGCGATAAATGTCTCAGTAGGACTATTTAAATGGGAACTGGACTTAGGTTTTTCCAAATGTTTGGTTCATCCATATTTGGAAAATAATTCAGGCATCCATATTCAAATGAAGCACTGAATGGTGTTAAGGACACTTCTGCATCAGAAATGTGAGAATCTATTTTAAAAAACGCAGAACGCATTTTATAGAGAATTGTCACCAATCTTCCCTAGAATCCAATAGTAGTGATACGTTTTGTCAGTTTTCACATCTGGGTTTACATCGGTTATCACTAAGCCAATGTTTACCTTTTGGCTTAAAATACCCGTAAGTAGAGGAAAAACGGGCTCTGTAAACAAAAATATATAAATAAACACCAACTTCTCATTGTTTTTACGTACGCCGGACATCTTTCAAAGATTGAGATTTGATAATAATCCTTGAATCTTGGTCTAATACCATATCTGAGTGTCAACAGCCAGATATTGAATCCTGGCAAATGCTATATTAGACGGAGTGTGGTAAGTAAATAACAATAAATGTAGTAGCTGCCTAGGGAACCCAACACATGTTTATGTTCAGATGGGTTTTGTGGATATTATAGTAATTTCATTGGTTAAGATCATGAGTCAGTTGAAGCTAGACCACCATGGAAAACCTGGAAGCACTGGACGGCCGTCTCGTCCCATTGTGGGACTACTCAGCAGTGCACATCCACGACCTCGCCCCCTATGAGATTCGAACCCAGGACATACTGGTTTCGCGCGAGAGATCTCGTGCTGAGGGTCCCAAAATAGAACGAAACGGCCGTCCAGTGCTTCCAGGTTTTTCATGGTGGTCTAGCTCCCACTGACTCATGATATATTTAAGTCTCAAAATGCTCGTTTGAATTGTATAGCAATACTTTTAGATTTGATAACGTGTTCTTAAGCATTAGGCTATAAGGCATGTATGATACAATGCTTACGGGCACTACAAATGACATTCTGTGGTGTCATGTTGTTAGTAACAGTAGCGAAATATAGAGAACAATCAATTGAATGGAATTTACCACTCTTCCTCAACTTCACTGACTAAGAGAAACGGTTTGATAGCGAGGACAGGACAACAAAATGGAGGCTTCTATGACACTACGGCATACCTGACAAGATAGTCAATATCAGACGGAATTCCTATGATGGATTAAACTACGAAATCGTGCATAGAGGACAATTGACAAACTCGTTAGAGGTAAAAACCGGTGTCAGGCAAGGTTGCTTACTATCACTCTTTCTCTTTCTCCTGGTGATCGACTGGATCATGAAGACGTCAACATCTGGGGGGAAGCATGGGATACAGTGGACAGCTAGGATGCAGATGGACGATCTAGACTTCGCAAACAATCTGGCTCTTCTATCGCACACACAACAACAAATGCGAGAGAAGACAACTAGTGTAGCAGCAGCCTCAGCAGCAATAGGTCTCAACATACACATAGGGAAAAGCAAGATTCTCCGATACAACACAACATGCACCAATCCAATCACAATTGACAGAGAAGATTTGGAAGATGTAAAAACCTCTACATATCTGGGCAGCATCATTGATGAACACGGTGGGTCTGATGCAGATGTGAAGGTGCGAATCGGCAAAGCAAGAGCAGCATATTTTATAACTGAACAACATCTGAAACTCAAAACAACTGTCAACCAACATCAAGGTCGGAATTTTCAATACAAATGTCAAGACAGTTCCACTGTATGGGGCGGAAACCTGGAGAACTACGAAAGTCATCATACAGAAAATACAAGTGTTTATTGACAGCTGTCTACGCAAAATATTTGGGATTCGTTGGCCAGACACTATCAGCAACAACCTACGATGGGCGAGAACAAACCAGAAACCAGTGGAGGAAGAAATCAGGAAGAAGCGCTGGAAGTGGATAGGACACACATTGAGGAAAGCACCCAACTGCGTCACAAGACAAGCCCTCGTATGGAATCCTCTAGGCCAAAGGAGTAGAGAATACCAAAGAACACATTACGCCGAGAAATGGAAATAGACATGAGAAAAATGAACAAGAATTGGATGGAACTAAAAAAGAAGGCTTAGGACAGAGTGGGTTGGAGAATGCTGGTTGGCGTCCTATGCTCGATTGGAGATAACAAGCGTAAGTAATTATTAGAAACTCAGTATTAAAAGAGTGAGGATAGAAATTCTTTTGCAATGTGCAGATAACCAATACGTCCTGGTTGCTTACTACATGAAAGTTAACACATTTTATAAATGTATAGAGAAAGAAAACAAGGCACCAAATATAGTTTTTCTTGTTAATCACATTGTTATAATCTCTTTCTTACGGTTATGACCCAGCTATTCCAATTGCTTAGTATCTCGGACACCGATTCGCTCGACAAGTCCCCAAAGCAGAAAACGGTTGAACAGGAAAGAGATTATATTCCAAATAACAAGGCTAGATGGAAGTAAGAAGCAAGTAGGTAGTACAATAGGGAAAACGCTAGTATATTTATAGTTTTTCACATGAGAAGATTTCTAGTGTTCACTAAGTATCGGCTAACGCTGATTGGGTAAGAATTAACCAATCAGCGTGCAGCAAAGCAATCGTGCATTGAGCATGCTTTAATCCAGTCTATGTCCGCTAACGCACATATAGAAATAACAAAGGAGCATCAACTATTACGACTGATGTTGAGTTAGATAACTTTGTAAACTATTTCATTATTATTTACAGACCTTATTTACCACTCTTCGTCTATCTTAACCACCAGTTATTGACTAGTTTTGTAGCGATCACAAAATGTCATCAAGACATGAGTAGTGTCAACAAGATCTTATTATCTTAATAGCCATACATGACTTTGCTTAATCTAACTATACTGACGGTGAAATAAACATATTTAACAATCCAAACTGTAGACAAAAGTTGACATCATTCGTTATAGGAATGATTAATCCCACGATCGTAAACAAAACAATTAAGACGATAGATTACATTCTATGACAAATGAAATGTAGATACATAAACCTTATAAAAAATGAAAACAAAATATTCGCTTTGAAAATAGGCGAAAACGAAATTAACTTCAAATTGTCGACTAGTATATATATATATATATATATATATATCTGTAAACCACAAGTAATTTTTCAAAATGCTGAAGAGGCGGCAAAAAAGAAATTACTACAAACGGTAGGGATATTACTTGAAAAACATGATCCGGATAAATGTGTAAAATGAATTAAAAATATGTACAGAAGAATACTGTTTACAATTTGACATTTTTTTTACTAACAAGGATGCAATGTATTAAAGAAGATGGATGTAGAATAATTTAAATAGCAACAATAACAAATAAATAAAATTACTTTTTATGCAAAAATACTCTTGTTTACATAGACAATAAGAAAAACCGATAACACGGGATCATTCACCCGTCTTTTTTCTCTGGTACACATTAAGTTTGAAAAAAATCATAGGACGATATTTTATTTGCTAAACACATAAACACACACAGATAAAACGAACGTGTTTACAATATATGGAATTCTTGTAGTAGATTTATTTAAGAAAACAAACTGTAAAATGTTTGTTATTTTGCAGATGAGAGAAAAAAAAGAAGCTTATTTATCATATTGAAACAAGAAAAACGAGGAAGTCAAGTAGCAACGACCAAGATAAAAATTTGTCTATCAATTTTATAAATGTACTATTTAATACAATGAAATGGGATACATGTGTACTATCAGATATACAGGAATCTAAAAATATAACGGAAGAAACAAAACTTTGACACACACGTATACACATGTAAAAATGACATTTAGTATGTTTCAAATAATAACTGTGAAACAAAAATGCATCAGAATTTAAAGAGGATCAACAGCTGTTGACCAATTCACAGAAAAATTTGAAATGGAGAAAAAAAACAGAAACCCCATAGTCTTCCCAATAAAGGCAAGTAATTATTCCTTCCCCCCCCCCAAATCGTAGGAATGATATACAGCTAAACAGAAAACATAGAGAAGAAATTCAATATGTTGCAAATCAATGAATAGGTAATTACTATACACAGTCAATAACAGATAGAATGGACCTATCAGACAGATAGAGAAATAAGCAAGCAAGATGTACACTAGAATACATATTTAGTATTAGTTGAGGGAGAGAGGGAGATGTAAACAAATAGGATTGAGACAAATCACACAGGAACGAAAAAGTAACGTTATGATGTGGGAAATTACACACATACTCTCTCTGCAAGAGCTATTTAGCGAAAGCGATGTGATAATAAAGGTGATTAGAATATTAATAATATGTATATTATACAAATGAAAGACAATAACAATGAAAACACAGAGTACTAGAGGCATGAGTGTGTATGAGTAGATGTTCTCAAGCGATACAAACAAATATATGATAAATCTATGTCGAAATAAAGCAAAATTTGTAAAAGTGATCGACATAATGCTTATTTATCACAAGATGAGACTGTTTTATTGAATTATAATAAAATTTATAAGTAAGCATAAATAACATATAGATTTCTTTTCCTCCCCCTGAAATTAACTAATCCAGATAGAAATTAATTTTCAGAACAAAATGCAATTGTACTATTTCATCATAGCAATTTCATCAAGAAAATAGAATGAATTAAACCGTGTACACGTACACTATGAAAAATAAAGAAACTTTCTCATAATTTGCAATGATATTTTGTTTCGGTTAGTTTGTATTTATATCATCTCTTATATTAATCAAATCAGATGAGGATAAATTTACTAGACAAGAGTCAACAACTTTCAATTGACGTTTAATTAAATCATATAATTCATATTTATCCCGCATTGGTTTACGTTCAGTTTTTGTAGGTTTACGACCTAGAAAAATACACAAAAAGAAATAGAGAGAAACAAAAAAGATGTATTGAAATGGAAATGAGTTTTTGTTTTTAGATGTAAATAAAATAAATTAACATAAATACATTCAATTGATTAGTCATTCTTTAAAATTTCACAGTAAAATTAGGACATCATACCAAATGAGGTCGATAATTTGTTTTGATTTGACACAGAGCAAGTATAAAAATATGAATTCATTCTACTTGATCAACTCAATTCAGTCGCTCATATTCATTTTCATTTGAAGAGATATTACACATTTTTAGAGAAAATATTTTTAATCGATTAACCACAACTTATTCGGTAATGATTTTATGCTTAACTGTGATGTACACATGTATGTTATTGTAGAACTATTACGAAGAACTAATTGGCGTGAAGTATCTCTTGATCCTAACTTACATTGCATAATCAACAATTGTGATTATGAATAGTTGAATTGGTTCAGCTTCATGCTTTATAGGGAAAATTAATCATATGAGACATCCATTGATACATATTCAGAGAAAAATAATCAGATAACTGGATTAATGCTAATTCTACATCCTTTCTTTTACCCAACTATAGAATCTTGTATAGACTAGGTTACTTTCTATACGTATAGTGACAATCCTCAAGTTTGAACATCACTATTTACATAATCCGACTTATTTCTTTTAAATTTATGACTGATTAAAGAGTAGTATATGCTGTAATTGTTTGAGCTATAGCATCGTTGATAGTTTGACTGAATTTTGATTAGTTTTAAATGGTATATGTGCATCCCATATGGATTGTCTCAATACAACTATTATAATTCACAAGTTTGTATAGAACAGGATTCTATACAAATGAGTAAGTTAATATTCTAATCAATACAGTAACATTTGATAGGGATAAACAGAATAAAATTGTATGAGATTGCCTCCAAATGCCCTGGTACGGCCGAGAGTGGGAAGAGTCCGCTCTCCCTCTCGAAATGCTCTCACATGGCCACGCGTATATAGCTTCTGCCAGGGAAGTCCTACTCATTGCCTTCTCGTGGCGGGGTGTTGTTTACGAAAATGAGAGGACGAAAAGCGAATGTCCGGCGCTTTAACCGGATCCAAAACCAAATCAATGGTGCACATGGGCTCCAGTATCCTGCGGGAACAAATGGCATATGAACCAATTGTTGGTCACTGGCTTCCATGGGACTGCATCTCCTTACGATGCTCCACTGCCTTGTGGATCAGACCTTCAGGTCGAAGGCTCGGGGAGTGGCCCCCTAAGAAAACCACCTGCTTCGGTTTGGGCACCCGGGCAGTATCACAGCCCTCACACATATCGAATGAGGTTTGTATGGCGCATATGTATTTGGTGCCTCCTTGAACCAATATCTATGTGTTAAAATAAATAAATAAATGTATGAGATCAGTCCGAACAAGTGAACATTCTTGAAAAAGAAGTCATATCCATGTTATACCAACACAACAACTAGACTAAAAAGTATGTTATGCATTAAAATGTACATGATATCTTACTTGAAAAATAATCATGATAATATTTCAGTTAGAGTATATAGACACTTTCAATACACTCTCTATAAACACCTTTTGTATATACACACAAAACAAAATTAATGTAACACATATTGTTTTAAATTAATTATAGTTTAATGTGGTTTCTATTCATTTAGAATTTATATAAGTAGCAATTTATGCAACTTGCATAATAAGAGAAAAAGATATTTCAAATAAAGAAGAGAAAAAAAATAGTCATTTCACAAATGAGAAAATCATTTTATCCTGTTTCACCTTTGTATTTTTATAAATAGCTTTAAATGAATATAAACATTTGAAAACAATGATTACATTTATCAATAGAGAGAGGTGTGCTGAGTAACACATGAATTTATTGGACAACTTTTAAATACAAATTACTACAAAGTGTGTCCTAGAAACAATACAATTTTAATTATTTATTCGTTTGTTTTTCAGAAAATACCTTTTCTGTATATAAGTAAAATGTTAGATACACATATGTATATTATTGTAGAGTAAATAAAAATATTATTAATGTACCGTAAAATGTTATACATTGATTGATAGTTCTGTTTCTTGTATCGAAATTGTTGTATAAAAAAAAAGAATAACAAACAATTAGTGCAACTAACCATGTGATGAGATTGCATAAACATGTAACTGGTCAACTGTTCAAACGTATACACAAATAATAATCATAATAATGTTTTTTAATGAATTAGCTGTTAACTAATTATAATTACTTTAATTGACAGATTTAGGTAATTTTTTTAAAAAAAAAGTTGGAAGTTTTACTGTTTCTAATGATAATAAAAGATGATATTTCTATGTATAATTTAGTATGTTTAAAATGATTGATATTCTTACTAGTGAATGAAAATATATAACCTCTGCCACTAAAGAGGAAAAATGTATTTGTAAAATTTCAGCGAAAGAATTTGAAGTAAATCCAACGTTTCGCCTGGCAATCTGGTCCAAGCTTTTTCAAGAAAATATAATAAAACATCAAATTTATCGAATATAAATAGGTACATGGTTCTCCGGTTTACTGTATACTAAATAAGTAATCCAATCAACGTTAACAATGTTTAAAGTAGGTACAACCTCTGCTTTCGCAATAATATGATGTTACGGGGGGGGGCTATAATAAGTGTAGAAATAGAATTATAATGAAATAAGAATTGAATGTACATAAATACGTAGGGAAAATGAACATCTAGTTATACATGGATTTTGCCAACAAAACAAAAGAGTAAACTTGTTTACAAAACAGTAATAATTATCATTATTTATCAATTAAAACATTATGAAATATGGAATATTAGTAACAGTAGTAAATTAGTTTGAAATTTTTGGTTATTTATTAAATACAAAATTAATAATGAAGAGTTAAGAAGAAATAAATTAAAGGGGAAGACGATAAAAATACTGAAATACTAAAGAAAAATATCTCCAAGAAAAACAGATAGACAAGAATATAGAAAGGGAAATCTAGAAAAAACATGGGTATAGACCAACTTATCTGAATCACTAAACATTATTCAGGTATTACTATGAACAAACTAAATACTCACTAACTAAATATACATTGGTGCTACTGTCTTGATAGAATTATACTCTCAAAGTATATCCCATTTTATTGCCTGTCAACTATTTGTTCAAAGCTACAAAAATACATGATAATTTTAAGTTTACCTTCGTATACAAAAAACATGCAAAATGTTATCATCAGTCAGCAATAACAATTAGAAACCATCCTGTTTTATAAACAATATGTCACGCTAATAATAATAATAGTAATAATAGTAATAATAGAAGAGAGTTTGGATAAGATATCAAACTAAATAGAATAGAATATTTTCGCTCAATTGACTTTAAGCATTACGTTTATTATTATTGATGTGACTATTTTCACTATCGGTAGGTAGTATCATGACAAATATAATTCTTTATGCATAATAAATCACTTTTTTCCTTTCCTATCTTTCTTCGTTTCTTTTAATTACTTTCCCTTATAATATTGTGTATTTATCCACATGCAATTTGTATCCATCTATGCTCACCTTTATAAACACACATTTTTCATTTCCTGTACAAATATTAATTAATTAATTACTTATTATAGACCATCATTCATTAGATTGTTAGATAAAAAACAAAATTTAATGAGAAATTATATATTTTATAGATTTAAACAATTAACGAATAATAATAATACACTAAGGATATACGCGTACTTTTGTAGGACATCCATAGAAAACAAACTGATAGTAGATACATCAAGTGATAAATATTGCTTACATGAAAAGTCCTACAACTCTCTAATTTTCATTTTAAAACAGGAATATTAATATCACAAAAAATGATATAGGCAATGCAAATCAAGAAGCCAGACGAAGGCTAACAATTGCATTGGAAAGCTGATACTCAATGTTTGTGTCAACTCAATGGTTTAACTGAGAATTTTACTACTTCAACATTAATGATCTGAGTTTTAGACCTTTAGTAGTAGTTAAATGATCGCCGATTTACGTAATACCTTTAGTGTTTTTCCCATTAGATATTATGAATTACGTTTCCAATAATGATAAACGTTTATTGTTTTAGGTACCACTGCGTTTATTTAGTAATATCCAAAATAAATGTAGGAAATTAAACAAAAAAAACCCTGAGAAACTTTACAATATATTCTGCAGTGAAATTAGCTATTTGGATAGTACCTAGACACCTAGCTAAATAGAAAGAAATAAGCGGTTTGTAAATATGAGCTCATAACTGAAAGTTCAAATTGCCAAGATGTTACTATTATTATTACCATTGTTATCATTACTACTATCGTCACCAAGATATTACAAAACAGGCAATACAAACAGATGACATAATTTCATACTTGTTGACTTACTCCCCCTACTTATATGATTCCTTGGAACATGGCTTTTTATTGGGACTAAGAAATACCCATCCGAAAGCTAGCTATTAGTGGTTAGATAATTATTACCAAGTATCGACATTTGTTCAAACTTTCACCCTTATTTTCTTCTTCAGTCTGAAAATGACAGAGGTTTTACAAAACAGATTGAAGAATATGATCAAGCAAACAAAAGTAACACACAGCAAAGTATTTTAATTTAATTTCAAGTTAGTTATACAAGTTTTCATAGAAACAATATAATAATCATCATCACCTCAAAACTTTTGGAATGCTTGATAAAAAGTTGTTTGAAACTCAAGGTTTGTTCGATTTTAATCATTTTGAACAACAATTAACAACATATAAGATATTGTTTAATAATACTTGTAAATATATAAATGATTGAAGTTAATAGTAATTTATAAATCATACCTAATACACGTTTGATATTATTCTCATATTCGACTAATTCAGTTTGAACAATATGCTTCTTTAATAGGACATTTTTCTTTTCATTATACAATTCCATAGGAGATAAGGAGCATAGTTGTTTACGATACCTGTAAATAGATGATACATAAAACAACTGTTCATAGAAAATTGATAAAAACAAAAACATATATAGTACATAAAACTAGATTGAACGAAGTAAAGTATCCTATGGTTGACATTTATTAATATACGCACAGAGCGAGTCAAGATTTCCAAAAATTTTTATTATACATATCAAAAGTTTTAAAGGTTGCATGAGAGGAATTACCAATTTTGCCTCCAAGTTGGATTTATTTGTAAACAAGAAAAAAAATATGAAAAATGACAGTTCGGAATTTACTGCAAATAAAATTCAGTTTTTGATTCGAAACGAAATTCAAGTAAATGATAATGATTAAGTGACATGAGAGGTAGTTTTAATATATAATCAGACACAAACAATAGTGAATTGCTCGGTCGGATGACGTAGTGAAAATGAATGAAGAAAACATAAACACAAAATGAAAACAGAGCTAAGAAAGTCATACGGGAATATTAAAAAGCTATGCGATGATGATAAGACAGAAGATCATTGAGAAGGATGGTTTATATCCAAGCTCCATTCTACACTAAGTGACATAAGAATCGTCTTATGTATACATATATTAAGGTTGAGAATGTGGATTCTCAAGGCCCTCGTGACTTGACCTTCATATCACTGAAACCAGTATAACCGGTTTGAATTGAGCAAATTTAATTAATTCTGAAAGACTGATTACATTTTGCGATGCAAACTTATTCAAATGTAATTAAAACACTGACACTTTAGATGTAATAGTCAGTAAGTATCAGATCATACTCAATTTAGATTATATATTGTGTAAACGGTAAATCCATTTTCTGTTTAAGGTTTAGGAAGTAAGCACATAACTGATAAATGAATTAGTTTTACACACAATTTTTCAGCCCTATACAGGTAATCTATTATTTGTTTTATCATTTGCGTGTATGAATGATTATTTCCAATTATTTTTTGACTAAGTCAAAATTATTGACAATTAGTTTGATAGCGTATAAAGTTATACAATAAATAATACTATTCGGTTACATTTGACATTTTTATGTATTTCCTTAACGTTATTATAGTTTAGCATCATTTCTTTCATTAATTAACATGATATCCAACATTGTGCAGTTTTTTATATGAAGAACACTACAAGCCTATAAACAGTTTATTGACAAAAAAAGTTTAAAATCTCATAGTAATGTTTTTTATTTGATCAAAAGTGACGGGTGAAATGTTACTAATATTGTAGTGTTTATATTTCAATAACTTAAACAGGATTAAAACAAAACTCTATAAAATAATAATATTAATGGTCCTATAACTAATAGAGATAACAAGCACTCAAGTAAGCAATACAATTCCCTTATTTAGTGGACATATTTGGATACTCCTACTGTGAATGAAGAACAAAAAAAAACCCACGTCCATTATGCGTACCAGAAAAACTCTGCAATAAGATATTGATCCCACTAGAATAAGGATAATAAAGATGTATAACTACTGTATGCATAAATATGTTTAGTGTCGGTAGAATTAGGGATAAAAAGTAAACTAAGTCATTAGCCAAACAGTAGAGAGATAACAATTTTAGGAGTGGGACAAAATAAGAGGAAATTCGGCAGGAAAAACACTAAGTTCAACTTCACACAAAATAAACTAAACAAATATAAACTTTAATGGATTTCGGAAATTTGAACATTCGCTCAACACTATAACAACAAATTTCCGCACAATGCTTTTTAAGGTCTTATTGAAATAAACAACATATACCATTCGAGCACCAAAGCACACACGCACGCACTGTATAGGAAAAAGATTTAAAAAATAGGAAAAAAGTACATCGGTCTAAATACATCTGAGGTCAGTCAACTGTAAATTTTCGATATTTGCTAGTTGGTTAGTTAAATGTAACGGTTATAATTCTCACAAAAATAATATTTATTTTGCCCCCAAATATTTTTTAAAAAAAGTTCAACACTAATAAGAACCCAATAGAACTGATGAACTTAAGTAAAATTGTTATAATGAACAATAATTTAAAATAAAACTCATTTTCTTCGGATACATTGTTGTTTCCACTTTAATGTACTTAGAGTAAATGATGAATATTATTGTATTAGAATCTGTTAACACAGATTCATTGTGCTCAAGACATTTTTATTGAAAAAAATGAATAAGAGTATACAATGTAAGTGTACTGGTAGACTTAGTTAATATGGTGGTTTGTGTTTCATCTTAGCAGTAACAAAAGAGGAAAATGTACTTTTTTCGTTTAGTTTAGTGTTACATTTTCTTTCCTTTGTATTGAATAGTTCGCAAATTTTACGATCGTCGGTATCTGCATTCACTCTCTTCTCTTTACAACTAAACAGCACTTAACTAATTAAGATATAATCCCGATAAGATTTAAAAAATTGTACAGTTTAAATCTAAGGTCACTATCTCTCTCTGTGAAACAAATGTGAAAAATTCACACTAATGAAGAAAACGGACAGATAAAGTTTATTCGAACCATTCAGTATCAAATGTCATTAGTTAAATTAAAAATTAAAAAGAACACTGAAAATTACTCAACTTATTCCAAACTAATGTGTCAAGAATAGATTAACTCAAATAGCTTAACTGTTCAATAGATCTATATTCACCCAGATAGATATGTCCGTATTAATAGCGATGATAATGGTAATTAATCGCATCACCATTATGCGATATATTATCGATTGGTTTACTGATAAAACTAAATATGCATAAATTCGACAATAAATGATAACAATGAATATAGACAACTTATTATATTCCTGTTTGTAGCTCGGCGAACCACATGTTGGCAATGCTTTTCAAACTACTATTAGTACTAGGAGAGGTCATCTCTGATTATCAGGACAAAGTGTTGTATCCTGTTGCTACATTACATTCAGTGGTAAATGTTAACTAGCAAATATTGACCAAAAAATTTTTGAATTCAGTTTATTTGTAATCATTGGGCCGATTTATTTTTCAATGTACTTTAATTCGATAACCAACTAATCTGTAAATAATTCCCCCCAGTGTGTTCAAATCCAGGTCAGATTGTTGTCCGGCAGTGCAAGCAACGTTATGACTATAACTATATGTTAAGACAGTATGTATTCCCCTCAAAAATTTGATTTTGTTACATAATTATGAATGGTGGATACAAGCGTGAATTTAAACAACGAATAAAGTTAGTGAAGACTAAAATATGTCAGCAAAACAATTAATTACGGATGTAAAAGAATCTGCTTTTAAATATGGTCTCTTCTACCAGCTAAAGAGTGGTAAAATTATGTAGCGCTAAAAGAACAACAAAATAACATCAGTCAAATGACTTATAGAATGGAAGAGTTGTAACTAACTATTCCAATCTCCCCCGATAATCTTCAGTTTTTTTTGGAACCAAACATAGAACCATGGGACCATACGTTGGGGAGATGATTTTTGAGCTGTTGAACAAAATTATGAGATCCATATGTTCCATAGAACTATTAACTCATCTTTCAACGTGATATTTTCGCTTAAGAAAAACACCAGACTGATCCAAAAAGATACAACTTGTAATAAAAGCTTTAGAATGTATACCTCTAACTTTATTCGAAGTTGGAATGTTGTGTATAAAAGTGAATACGTCCACGATAAGGCCTAACTGACCTTAAATTGGTTTTTCATATGTTAGTAAAACACAACATAAGAGAAAATAAGTATCTAATGTTCTTCATTTGTTCTCAGCATTTGATCATTATTGATTGACAACAAAAAGTAAAAAAAAGTGGTGAAAATTGTTATACAATATAAATCTACAAGTAAACAAGAATAAAACGTCTTACAATTGAATGTTGTGGTCATCCGGTCTCATAAGTGATTTTCTATGGTTGGAATTAAATGGAAAACTTGAATTTTGATTTTTTTCAATTGTTACAAGATTATGATTTTCTGTTGATTGTAAATTATAGTTTCTTTGCTTAACTTTAACTGGGAAGCTAGATTCTTTATTCTTATACACACTTTCAAATGTACTGAGTCAGAATCATAACCTATATTATGAATATTACCTTGTAAAAAGGTCGGAGATGTGATTGTTGGAGTGTTTAGAAATTCCATTAAATTATTTGAAACCGTTACATTTGGTTGTTTATCTGTAGATTGTTCGTTAACATCAACTATGGAATCGTTATTGGGCACTTTTAAACGAGACAAATTCATTCCAAATGGGAATTCACTACAGACACCATATCGAGAAGAAATAAGACGTTTAACCTGACGATAACGCTCATATATGGGTTTCATAATTCGTTTCGATCTAGGAGATTTCGGTCGTCCATAAAGACCTTCAAAATATAAGAGACTTTTTTGAATATCATATTTCTCTCGTTCAATCTGAAATATTCAAAAGAGAAAGCAGTTTTTAACAGGTGAACATATTTTTAATACCATGTTAGGCAACAAAAGTAGTATTTTTGCTAGCAATCATGATAAATACAAATAAATAAAAGTGCTCTTAGAAATCACGTTTATATTTTAAAAGTACAACCAAATTAATCCTAACAAAATAAAAAAAATACTGGTCAGACTCATTATGTGAATGGTAAGAACAGTACACCAGACTAAAAAATAAGCTCAAAGTTTACACCAAAATAAAATAAAACAGATTAATCATTATATTAATCAGATATTAGTTAACACAGATAACCAATAGGAAGAGTAAGATTTACAGGACAAGGCTTTCCAATAGTTGAAAAAAATGGGCCTAAAGTTACATTGACGATATTGTTAGTAAAAAGTTTTACATACCGTAATCAACGAAGTTTAGTTTGAAACGAAATATGAAGCAAGAAGAGGAAAAAACATGTTTAAAATGATAATTATTAAGACTGGTTGGTATTTATATATTGAAGATGAAGTCATTATAATGAACAGGGTGAAATTTCAAGTGATGTTGATTGTATATAATTTGGCCTAATGTAAATCAGTTGTAAACATATTAATTAGTATTAATTCAACTAAAATAGTGGAAAACGTGAAGAACTTTAGTATTCTCTTAATTTTTAAAAATTAGGAAGTCTAAGTTCGACTTATGGTTTGAATCTTGTTCTAACAAAAACTTTTTAACACTAACTGTAAACGGTATCGACATTAAAAGATAATTCGTAAAACCTTAAAAAACTGGTTTCGTTGATCAAGTTGATCTGAACGAAAACAAATGCGATAGGTAATTCGTTCTGTTTTCTGGCTTTTATCAGAATTTGTGATTTGACTAACCAACTGAAGAACTAGAAAATGTTATGTTAACAATGGTTAAAATAAATTATTTAGATCTGTTGTTATTCTTATGGAAAAGTTGTTTCACAAAATAATATTTGGAAAGATATTACTATCAAGTGATTTAATCCACCTATCGCCAAACGGTTGGAATATTGTTGTACAATATCGCTACATTATTGAAGTTAGCTGCATTAACCGCTGGATGCCGATCCAGTGGTTTAAAGGCCCACTATATTATAAATCTTGAAAGTCTTGAGGTTCTTCCCCGGTAGGATATTGGATGCTCACTGATGGGGAGTTCCGTACTAGGATGAAACAGCTGTCCAGTACTTCCTGCTTTTCATCAGTTGTTTGAATAAAGTCAGTCCGTGATATAAAGAATAAAAATTATCTAATTAAATACTTCTGTCAAATAATTATTTAAAAACACTTGAAATGATAGAAGAAACATGTCAAACACATCTAATATACCGAATTCAACGAGCGCATATAATTCCATTATTTATCAAATGGCTTACTTGGTCCCAGTTCATTTCACTCAGTCGTTCAGGACGATTACAATATTCACGTTGTTTAGATAATGCAGCGCATAAAAGTTCATAGAATGACTCAATAGATATCAATGATGAATTTGATTGCTCTAATGATACATCACCAACATTATCATCTTTATCGCCAACATTATGATTTTCAGAATTTTCGTAAAAATCTCTTAAATCTTTCAACAAAGGTGATGAATATTTTCTAAAGAAAGAATGACATTTTCCTGAAGATGTATGACTGTTTGATGAAAATGAATTTACTCGCCTAATAACTGAAATAACTGAAGGTGAAATCAAGTTAATATTTGGTTCTTCTTTACTAGAAAATAATAAATTCTTCGATATTTTAACTGGAATAGTAGTTAAATTTTCTTTATTAATCAATTTGAATGTGGGTGATGCTTTTATGCTTGATAATTCATCCTACAATACATAAACCAAAAGTAATGGAAACAAAATAGAATATTAAGAAACAAGATAAGATTTTCGCATGAAAATAATTTAATATTTTTATGCAAGCAAATTGTAAACAGCTGAATAAACATTCTTATCGTATATACATTTGAAAGATAATTTATATGCTAATAAGGAATTATATATGATACTAGTAATTATATTATTTACATGTGTTTATTGTTTGGCATCATCTTGTATAAAAAAAGCCATACGAACAATGAATACTAGAAGAATAAAACCACAGAAGTTAACTGATATTATGACATATTTAATAAATTAAAAAAACGGATAAACCTAAACAGTAATAAGTATCATTTTTAAATATTATGATAAAACCATAGATAAATGAGTTTCGTTATTTTTTTGCTTTAGATAATCATTAATAGCTTCATATATAAAAGTTCTATTCACTAAATCTAGAAGGTGTTCTTCACAAAAAGAAATGATAGGTTTTGATACGCGGATTAGTGAATATTATGACATCCAATATCAAAGTTGCGATGCTGAAAGAATGATGAACATAGGTTCGAGGATTTTTAACAAACGAATACTGAGTTAATTATCTCTGGTCATTGCCTATGACTGCAATATAAACATCAACTTCTTCAGTCATTGTAAATTAGATGAAAGTTTTCAGACTTTAAGCCAACTAACTGTTTCAACCAGTATACCTGGGTAGTTTTACATAAAATGTGTTGAAAATTTATCCTTATCAACGCTGATTTTTTTACTTCTCTATTCATCATTATTTTATTTAGCTATTCCTTTTTTAATTATAAATTAAATTAAGCCACTAGACAGTTGCTCTCCAAAAAATCCAAATAGAAAAAATCTTTAAATTTGGCAATTTTACATTTTTATCAGAAAGGGTTTCGTGCGGCTTTTAGTTATTTTATAGTTGAATTCATGAGTCAATTGAAACATACATTTGCACTAAAATCCAGGGCGAGAAACAGACGGCTATAATTACAACTCCGAAAAGTTTGGATGTTGATTTCCGCCACATTTCAGGGAAAAGTAGTTGCAGTTCAAGTGATAAATAGAGGTTTTACACCTGTTGATTAAAGATTTACGTTTCACGCTAATTGATTGAGTACAACCCAACGACCAAATACAGGTTCGTCCTTGGCCTTCAGTATATATATATATAGGCCAAAAAGCGAATTATAATTTTCAATGAGCCACAGATATCCTGAATTTTAACTCGAACGGAAACGATAGTTATGTGATTAGATACGTAAAGGTTAAATAATCCTAATTATTTCACCATGGAGAGAATAGTGGGTCGGTGTTCAGTAACCCTCCTCATTATTTGCGTTAAAACTCTGTAACTTCTAACAGAATCACCAAGCGAACCAAGTCTATTAACGACAAAAGGATTTGTGATGTTGATATTATGTAGGAAAGTGAATACGTTATTTAAACAGATATTTATGTTAAAGTGTTTTAAAATGAGTCTTGGATAAAATTTGTTCCTTGAATAAAAATAAAGAGAAATCAGTGAAATTTTTTTTCGACGAGATCATTTACTTAAGCTGTACATTCGTATTTATAGTTATATGGGAAATAAAATTTATTCTTGTTAAGTTATTGAGTTTTTATCGAAAATGAAGATAGGGTCTGAATATTTACTGACTTTAATATCAATAGTGTAAGCTAAGTGAGATCAAGGAAAAATTCAGTCACTTTGTAATAACTTAGTAATAAAAATATCAGATCGAACATAACTTACCGTGGTTAAATGCTGTAACGATCTGTATTTCAGGTTTGTCCTTCGTGATAACTGGTTTTTGAAATACAATAAATCCGGTTCGCTGTAAATTCTATTTGATAAATTTAACAAACTTTTAGTCCTATTGTATCCAAGGTTTTTTGAAATTTTGTGTGCTATCAGAGATGTAACTAGAATATTTTGCTGATCTTAAAAAATGATCTGATTTATTTAACTGAGCTCCATGGTATCTGGTATTTTCCCCATTTTTATTTGATATTGGGGATTGATCAAAAATTGAACACTGTTGTTTTATCCTCTGCTTTGTAATCATTTGATTCCTTTCAGGAGACTAAAGAAATGCAAATAAGTTTTTTCGTTTTAAAAAGAAAACAGGACTACATTTTGTTAAAAAGAAAAAATGAGGATGAGTGAAATATGGTGCAATGTTTTCTTGTTTATGCAAAGCTGAGTCTAAACATAGAATTTCGATTAATGACAGAAATGTCACAAGTCATTGATTAAAAAACTGTGGTTTATCTATATTTTTATCTTTCACATTCTCATAGTTCTTAGGATAATCCAATAAGTAAACGATTATAAAAATCTATCATAAATTTGAAACGATATAATTACGTGAATAGACTTGATAAAATAAAGTTGCATGTATATTTAGTCAACTGAGAATGTTCTGGGAAAACTTGTGCATATCGTTCGGAAATAAGATGTAGTATTTCAAGACCTCAAATAGCGAACAGTCTCTCTCTTTGCTTTTATGCGTACAAATTACAGCTTGACCACCTACCACTTCTTGAAAGCTGTTTTGTGAATCAGAGTGTTTGGACGAGTCTTGGACAGTATCTGCTACAAACAGGCTATCACATGATCAAACTACGTTACAAATTTTTAATGCACAATGAGAAACATTTACCTAATACATGCGACCACATATTTTCATACCTAAATGTAATTTTTGTAACTTTCCAACAACAGTGATGAAACACAAATGAACTGGAAAAGGAGTACATAAAATAAGCATTATTTCAGTTTATAATGGTATGCCAAAGATTTCGAATTAAATGGAAGCGAACAGTTTTAGCTCAGAGATACAGGCTCTCGGTCATATTATCTAGCATCAAATGCCTATCAACAAGATAATTTTTTGGACGATAAAAACCAACAAACAATTACTTAGTGGTTGGTGATATCTCTAATATGATTACATTATCAAAATATCTTAGGAAATAACGTGTCATCGAACACTAATGTAATTTTGTACTACAAGAAATACAGACAGAAATTTTAAATGGGGTTATTCGTCATTATTCTTAAATTGATAGTCTGCTAGAAAAGACATAAAATTGAGAATACTACAATATTTGTGTCCATAATTTAGGATATAATACTGTAAGTTACACAGTTAAATTCCTCTTAAACTCTGCTACATTAGGCAATAAAAAAGACTATTGGTAGTACTATAGATAGATAGATCAAATAGTCAACGGTGTCGGAAGTATTATTCAAGACTTAGGAGATATATAAGTAATCACAATTGAATACACGAGTCGATCTAAGCTAGACCACTATTGAAAACTTAGAAGTACTGGACGGCCATTCCATTCTAGTATGAGAATACTCAACAGTGCACAGCTGCGACCCCTCGCGTAGGACCCGAACCCAGGACATTCGGTATCGAGCGCGAATGCTTAACCTCTAGACCACTGAGCCGGTATCCAACGGTGTTAATGTCTAACTTCAATCGATCCATGATCTTACGCAATCCTCCTTGTCTGAGGTGGATAACTGTCTCACATGCGACACGTATTGGACTCTACTGGTCACTTCTCACTAGGAAGATCGTTGATGCGTACTGATGAGAAGTTTCATACTATGACGGAACGGTCATTAAGAGCCTCCAGGTTTCTACTGGTAGTCTAGCTTAGATCGACTCGTAAATTCAATTGTTTAAATACTACAGTCTCCTCTAATCCCTATCCTGATAATATACATAATCAACAGTTACGAATTTTCTCTGTAAGTTACTAAAATGTTTTACAGCTTACAGAAAGCCTCCCAAAGTTTGGAGCAGATTCGTTTAAGTGTTCATTGTTTGCTTTCGAAGAAAGGGGCAATAAATTAGGAGGGCATGATCCACGATCTTTAGGTTTATGAATAAAGGAATGAATTGGTTTAACGGTTACTGCACCAACAGAATTTGACTTTGATCTCAGAGTAATTGAAGTGGTATGACTAGATAATATCGGACTAGTTGGTGTACTATGATTGTATTCCTTTGTTTGATGGGTAGTATCATATTGAAGAGTTGCTAATTCGATAGACTTATTTTGCTCATTTCCAATTTCACTATTAGAACCACCTACATGATTATGGTTAGGATGAGAACGATCAAATACACAAACTGGTATTTCTGATTGATACAATAAAGTTGATATCGGCTTAACAAAACTTGAGATAGGATTTTTTTTCGCAGAAGCTGTAAGATCCATTTCATTTATTGAATAAGGAAAGCTGCTGGAGTGGCTGGGACAATCTAATTCCTAGAAGGAATATAAAGAAAAAAACAAGAATATGATGGTAAAACGGAAAATTCGAGCTACTGTGAAAAATATAATTTTGCGCCAACTTATCAGTTAAACATATAGATTAGTGGTACATAAATACTGGGAGAATATTTCGGATAGTTAGTTAATTTTGGATGAAAAAAATAGTCACCATGAGTATTGTACAATAATTGATTATTAAGTAAAAACCCTGTTCTCTTCTGACGACCTCCAACTCCCTAGTATGAATATTGTGATTATCTATTCGCAATTTTCATAACATTCATGCCGTCATTAGTGTTCAAAACTGACGGCCAACAGTTCCTACCTCTTACCCAAATAACGATGGAACCCAAGTATGAATGTAGTTCAAAAAAAAGAAAAGAAAGGATAATAAATCCATATTGTGACTGTATGTGCTAACGAGGTTTCGAAAGTGCATCATTAAAACAGAAGGCCCATGGATAGGATGAACTGCTGTTGGACAACTATAAACACCTCAAGATGTATTAACAACTGATCATGTTGAATAATATACTTAAGGAAACGTAAAGTACGTAGAAGGTACAAAATGAGAACACCAGATTTAACACTGACAAAAAACTAAAACACAAACAAAAAGAGAGAATTTATATAGTACGTTTATATGACCATTAGTTAGTCAATAAAAACAAACACTAATACTGAGATATTTGGTAAAAATCAAGAAATAATACTCCATTTAGATATTTGAAGACGAAAGTATGATAATTTCTTCCAGGTTGCCTGAAAATGAGTGAAATGACATTCCATTTAGATTCGCAGTAGCGTTTAAAATACATGATGTAATTGCTTAATTCCACTATTCTGTTCAACTATAACCCCCAAAATATTAAATTTAGGTGATTTCTTTGGCAATCGATACAATTTACTAACTTGGACAATATTTAAGTAACGTTACATAGTAGTTACACATTTGGAAAACACTCTTGATCCAAATCCAAATATAGATAACACTGAAATGAAAGTATCGGATACAGAACACCGTTTTCATCTATGTAGAGCGGGATATTCATAGTTACATATTTAAACATTAACAAACTAACCTGCTTCACAGAGAGGGAAAAAACATGAGTATCAGAACACTGGTTTATCGCCTGAGTCAAAATATTCTCTACAATTGGAGATGATTGAGTACTACCAACCGAATTGGCAAACTCATTGTTAGCAGCCGGCATTTCCATGTAAAAATGATTTGTGCTAACTGGCATAAAAGTAGACGAACGTGTTGAATTTGCTGTATCTTGTACTCTAGCTGCATTAAAATCATCCTTTTGCAAATTTATAGGTCGGTAAGTATTGTCAGTATTCGGAAACCGGTATCCATTATATTTCAAAGTATTTGATATAACGCTATTATGTTGTGGGGACTGACTACAAAGATCTTGACTATAAACTGCCACACAAGAATCCATAAACTTAGGTGGAGTTTTTATCGTTTTATTTTTCACAGAAGGCATGGAATTCCAAGTACTGATTGGATGGACACTTGATTCTTTGATTGTATGTTTACGATGGCTGAATGTTCTTTTAATTTTATTGGGATCATCAGTGACGTGAGTAAAACGAATCACTTTGTTGAACAAACTATCACCTGTTGAAACTTTGTTTGACGATCTTGATAACATGCCAGAAATACGTAACTTTTCTCTCGGGTTCTCTTCAACAAGGTTGGGCTTCTTATTACAATTTGATATCTGAGTTGAATTAGTAAAACAATCATCAAGTTGTGTTTCGAAGCTCAGTGCCTCTAAAGAACGGGATGTAGACATGGACGAAATAATATTTGTGATATCCAAGGCCAGTTGTTCCGATGTCCTGAGTAAAAAGATAAGAACCACAAGGATTAATGAATATTATGATCATAAAACACATAAGATATTACTGGAATCATAGTAAACCAAGTAAATTGGTAAAAACCTCAAAAAATTCCGAACCACAATTTAATTTCCAATGGCTTACTTTGTGTAAGGCACTTCTGCACCTGAGTCTGGAACTTCTTCAGCATTTTCTTTTTCATTATAGGAAATTGAATTGCTTCTACTCACAAAGGTTGGGGTACTAGAAACTTCGAAAGTGATTGGGCTGGGTGTAGGTGAAGTTGATGGACTTATAAGGAATTCTTTGTATTGGTGAGATGACACAATGCTGTGAAATGGAGAACTGTCACTAGAGAGATTATTGTCAACTGTAAAACCACACATTGAATCTGGTATACTGTGACAAGGATTTGCTCGAGGAATCTTCGGCTCACTAGAAGAACAGTGATGTGACATCCACACATGGTTATCTGGTTCAGGTTTAGGTGTATTTCTAGGAACCAGGGGCAGAGCTTCCACAAAATTTGAGAATGTGTCTTCCTGTAGGCTGTTAATAATTCCTGGACTATTATTTTGACTGGAACTCGTTGATATTTCACATGATGGCTGAACACGATCTTCAAGGGTCGGTAAAGCTGAGTTAGAGACAATTTCCGGTAGTTTGAACAGATGGTCCAATACGAAAAAGTCCGTTTTAGGGTGATGAACAAATATAGCATCATGGTATTGGATTAGTGAAGTCATTATGTAATTTGTCAAGCCCTGATTCTTTAGAACCTTGAAGTTAATTTAAAACAATAGTTTGTAAAAACGACATCTACAATAAACGTATTAGTTCATATCCATTATATTATGAATCAAACTAATACGAAAATGATTGATTCTTTATTATAATTCCATTATCAGGTCAACTTACATTATATTCGATAGAATAATAGTTGTAGAATGAAAGAAAAACAGATAGACATTACAGGTTTTAAGGTGTCACAATTTTAAAAGAGTAACAAGTCATCATACTTTATAAATAACTACAACTAATCACCAGTACAAGTGTAAAATTATGATGGTGGTTAACACAGCAGTAACTGAGATTTGTTATTCAAAGAAACATGGAAATTCCCTCAGACTAATCAAACATTAATTTCCAGATGGTGTTTGAATAACTCCAAACGATTTATATATATATATATATATATATATATATATATATATATATATATATATATATATATATAAGTTGAAACTATTTGACAAGACTTAGAGTTATTAAATCATATAGGGTTCTGAAAATTATGCGACTCAGTGGGTAGAGGTGTTATCGGCGCTTAATCACAGTAGCAGCCAGTAACAGTCATGTTATCGTGGTCCGATATATTCCTACAAAAATTATAGTGCACCTTGAAACTAAACGGTTTATGCTGTTTGTGTTTCTATGACTTTATTTCTTCGTAGTATCGTCCTTTTATTTTCTGCCACCTATTTATTTGCGTTCACACTTACCAGGCACTTTATGTTATGAAATGAGATTCTCTGATCTTTAAAAAATATATGTGGGCCGTTACTATGAATGGCATGAGCTTCACGAATCAACGTTACCGGTAAGCTGAGATATCCCTAAAGACATAATCAAGACATTTTGTAATAGAGCTAGTAAAAAAAAATAACTAAATAGGGTCTATTTTAGTTATCTTTAATCCACAGATCAGAGTACCATAAAGTTTACAGAGAGTGACCGCGATAATTCACAAGTCTCTAAAAGAGTAAGTTGCAGCTTACACCAGATATCGTGTCCCACACCACACACCAACGTTTCTTGTATAGTTGCGTGACTAGCAACCACTCTATAGAGATTTTGACAAGACGTTTCTTTGGAATGACAGACACTTTTAGATGAAATAAGGGTCATCTAACAACCTATTTCTGTCATGTTGGCTGACAAGTGAAATGCTATAAATGATTTAAATAATACAGCTATCTAAATCAACTTGTTTGATTACTAGTGATAAGTCACATTGTGAAGCTGCAAAACAACATCAATTAGGATAGTCGAATTATGTAATATGATCACACTAAGCAAGACCAAGAAACGATAGTATTCACTGTTCATTTTGTGTTAAATGCTAAATGATCCACTACTTTATTTGTGTGCATTTTCCTCTTCAACTGATTACTTCCTACTTTTTTTCTTCACCGATATAATGTACAACAGTTTACTCATCCACAATAGTTCATTAATCTCACCGAATCTTCATTAAGTACGTACGCTATGGTTTGATTATGCTAGTGAATCTACAGCATATACAAATATTGACAATCTACACGGAGAGAAGCCGTCAATCATGTTTATATATATGTGAATAAACGTCAATACAAATACTGTTTCTACACATGATGAGGTATTATTTAAAATGAAAACTTGCCTGTAAGTCCAAACTGCAACGAAACACACAAGGACCAAAAATAATTCCTAAACTATTGCGCGACATTTTATTGACGGGTTCGTTTTCCGCAATCTTGTTCAAAAACTTACACAAATATTTTAAGAGTTCATAGTTTTCATGCGGCAGTGTAAATAATGCAGTTTGTAGTTTAAGTATGTACGCATTCAAGTCACTTGAATATTCTTTCGCAACCTGGAAACGATAAAGGTTGATAAAAAAACAATGGATTTGGACTATTTCTTATAATTTAGTAGGGTTATATTTTTAATAGAAAGACCAATCTTTTGTTTTACTAAAAGTAACCTAAATTCGTCCAATATTTAGGGACATGACTGTAAAGATGACTGGAATTGGATCGAAAAATACTGTGAATTCTTAATCCACCACGTGGAATAATGCCAGAAATCAACGTAACAAGTTAACATTACAAATCGGATTTAAAATGTGGTGGTAAGGTAGATCTAAGGTAATGGTACTTCACTCAACGAAATCTGTTTTTCATAATCCACAATCAATTAAAGAACTATGAGTAGTACCCGAGATAAGCCATTTTGTTATGGTGGTTTTAAATTGTGGAATTTTCAATGGACACAAGTGATAATCCCTCAATGACTTTTGCATTTTCCGAAATTTATCTTAGTTATTGGTAAGGTTTGAATATATATGAATAATTTCTAAATGGTTTTATACGTTATATCGATATTGATGATAAACTGTATTAACACATTCAATATCGTAGACCACGAACAAGCCTACCTGAGAGACATGAATTTGTTTTTATTCATATTGATGACCGTAATCCTTTGAATAAACACAGTATATAGTCAAATATTTCATACATGATATGAAAGACTTAAAACTAATGAAGTTTCATTCTATACCGCCTTCTAAACTGTATATAAAGCTATAGGGTGCACTCATGACAGCTAGTTAGTAAAATGCTCTATTGTAAGGCGATTGTAAAGCACAGCTACAAAGTGAAAAGAGATTTTAAAAAATATTTAAGTTGTGCAGTGTGGTATTTCCATAGGCCAACAAGTGCAACAATACAAGACTCCATTACTGCTCTCCAAAATAATGTGGCCAGAATATTCATGATGTGATACCAAGAAAGGCCGTCAAAACATAAATTACTAAATGACTGAAAAAACTAAAACGTTATAAGACATATCGATATCTTCATAGTTAATTTAGATGGCAAACAGTTTGTCGGACTAAACATATAAGTGAGATAGCTTCACCGGAAATATTAAACAAAGCCAATTTACTATGATACAAATCAAAAGTACTAGGGTCGCGAGGTATGTTAAGTAAAATATATCACCTTTATACATTTAAGTCCAAGTTTTTCCGGAACAAGTCCATCAGGTAGTTCGCGAAGAAATAGCTTTAAAACACCTGCTAAAGCATAAATATCAACATTTCTCAAAGAATATAGATCGTCGGCTGCCGATATCTGAAATGTAGTTTTGAACCCGTCAATTAACTTAGCACTCCCATTGATACGAAAAATCCCTTGTGAATTGAGCCCATAGTGAAGCAAATAGTCACAAATATTTTTTACTATTCGAGGCACTGGTTTTGTAGAATCTCTGTCAAGCAGGACTTTTAATGGGACGCCAAAGTTGTCTTCAGATTGTACGAGTGTTTTCCGTTTAGACTTAGGGCTGGTATTTATTTTGCGAACAAATCGATCCATAGTGAAAAAATCATACAGTATTCCGAAACAATTTAGGATAAGACTACAATATTATTCAGCTAAAGATGATTTTCAAGTCACCATCCTACAGATTCCCGGAAGCAACGAACGTTTGATAGGTAACCTTGAGAATGAACAATATTTGATTTGCGAGCCTCTATATAGAGTACAATAAAATACTTGTTAAAAACAACACAAGAACAATGGCTAAATAAATGGATACTATAAAACCTCATTCATAAAATTACCAAACAAATAGATGTATGTAGTCAAAAACTCATAAGCTTTGTTTTGGTGACTACTAGTCTGTCAATTCATAATTATTTGGCGTAACCCTACAAATTCCAAACATATCTAGTGAAGAATGGACAATCACTTTTTTTCAAGAAATATTGGCTCAATCCTGTCGGTATTCTCACAAAATCTCCAAAATGCAAAGTCACTGGGACTATTTTTATGCTATAGATTTAGGTTTATTCTTAGACGAAATTCATCAAATTATTGTTTCAAACCATTTAAGAAATTCCCCAAAGATATTCTGCTGCTTAGCCATTCGGAAGATATTTTGCTACACATGCTGGTGTGACTGCTAGTGGCTGGATTTAGGATGTGTGTTCCCGCACCTATCCATGACACTAGTATGCTAGACGTAATATAATATTGGGCACTTGTCTTTATTTGACTGCCTAACCCATATTTTCTTACGTCAGGATCAAATCCTACCCCACACGGACAGGCCTCATCGTAACAGCTGGCAGTACTGTTAGCAAGATCTTATAAGTAATAATTCTTAGCCACCTGATTTAAGCTGTAACATATTCAGGCTGGTAATAGGATAATAAATTTAATGTGCAGATGTGCATGGCCACCACTCCCGTTTGGTTGAGTGGTGTGAATCACCTTGGGTCGTATATGCTCAACCGCAAGAATTATTTGAGGTGATGAGTAAGTATTACCCATATATCCTTAAACACACAAATCCACCACCAGATGATGCTACAGAATATGCATTCTGCCGACCAATACTAATACTCGACTTATTTGCTGTCCACGAACATACAGCACTTCAATCCTTTATCGAACATGGAACAGTCCTTTGCAGCCCACCGAATTGGATCAATGCAATGCACCACTACGTAAAAAAAGTGTACAATATATCGTAAATCACGTTAGATAAAAATGACAGACGGCTGATTACAGGTTAAGAGAAGGTTAGAAAAACCTGACAAATGGTCGATAAATTATTGCGTAGCTTTAAGTTTGGGGCTTTAAGATATTTTAGCTTCACTCGTAAACAGGTGTTCTGGGATCTTAACAGAACGTTAATTTTGTTGCTGAGCGTTCTACCAAGCATAATTACGAGAGTATTCGGCAGTAATAACATTAAATAGTCGTGGTATATAACGGGCTGTCAAGCACCTTGTTGAAGGAACTGGTAGACAATTTAGAAACGCCAAACCTATAAAAGTACATAAGATACCACCCACACAATTACGCGAACAATACAGATACTTTGATTCCTGTGTATCAATAAATAGTCAGACACAATTGGTTTCATGTTCACCATTAGAATCTATCTAGCCAACTATCCGTTCATCAATCTATATATCTAAATAAACATACATCTATCGATCACTAAATATAAATTTATTTACAAACGAAAGAAATTGCAATTTGCTACTTCAGTGAAAGCGTGTGCAGAATCAACCACCCATCTCTTGTGATTTATGGCAATATCGAGGCAATCCTCACATGATGTACATATGTCAGAAACGGACTGGTCAACCGCAGTCCTAAACCTCAGTGGGAAGATTCAAGCAACAAATACAAGACGAATCAAAATATCACAAGGATAGAGAAATATCCAGATCAGTTTCGAAATAAAATTTAATCTTTCGGCAAATACTCTAACCAAACAGTAATATTTAGTGAATGTATTATTTCATCAATACTTGCTTAAGCTAGTTACCCCACAAGGAGGAGCATAGGTCGATCGCCCGAATTCCTTATCCAACTCTGTCTAGAGCAATCTCTTCCGGTTGATCTTGATTCTTTTGATGTGTGCTTCCTTGATTTTCCTCGTTTCCTCAAGTTAGCACTTGACGCTTGATATATATATATATATATATATATATATATATATATATACGTCCTACTCACCTTAGGCGTCCTTCCTTAAATTCCTCTTCAGCTGAAAGTTGGTTTGTCCTCTCCCACAGTAGGATGTTATTGATGGCATTCAGTCTACGAACACTGAGTATTTTGCGTAAACAAATGTTTATAAATTATTTCACTTTTTGATGGTGGTTGTCGTAGTTCTACAGGTTTCAGCTCCATATAACAGAACTGTCTTCTTCGTACTGACGTTTCTGACTTGGATGTTGATTGACAGTTGTTTTGAGCCACGTATGTCCTTCAGTTGTAAAAATGCTGTCCTTTCTTTTCCAATCCATGCTTTCACATCTGCATAACATCCTGTCTAAACACCGACGATGCTGTTCAGGTACGTGAAAGTTTCCACATCTTCCAGAATTTCTCCAAGTGTAGTTTAGCTCATGCTAGCTGTGTTGTATTTCAGTATTGCGCTCTTTTCTGGTGTATGGTGAGATCTACTGATAAAAAGGCTTCTACTACACTGGCTGTCTTCACCCATATTTGTTGGTGCGTAAAGGATAGAAGAACTAGGTCATCTGCGAAGCCGAAATCATCTCGTTTCATCCAAGCTGTCCACTTTATCTCGTGCTTCAGATGTCAAGGTCTACATAATCCAGTTGGCCGCCAAAATCAAGAGAGAGAGAGAGAGTAATCATCCTTTTCTCACACATGTCTTCACTTGTAATGCATCTGTACTGCAACTTTCTTTCATATACGACTTTGCGGAGTAGTTGGTCGTAAGGATTCCGTATGATTATAACGATTTTCTCAAGCACTCTATAGTATAAAGGTAGATTCCATTAAGTTCTTCTATCTATACGGTCAAAGGTATTGTCATGGTCAAGCAAGCTGTTATTTAGTGACAAGTTTCATTCAAATGATTGTTTAACAATGGTCCGTGGTGTCGTAATCTGTTCTGTGCACGATCGATCCTTATATAATCCGACCTGTTGAGTTCGTTGCAGTTGTGTACCGAACCTTTCGTCTGGTTGAGCAACACTGTTGGAATCTTTTCCTGTTTACAATTGTAGTGTGTTGCCACTGCAGTTCTCACATTCGCTCACATCTCTTTTATTTGATATCTTGATGAAATATCTGTCCTTTCAGTCTGTTGATAAATGACCCTCCTCCCAAATCTTCCTGAATGGAACATGGACCATGTTTGAAGTTACTTCTGTGTTTTGGTTCAATGTTTCAACCGATATGTTGTCAGGTTCTTCTACTTTCCCACTTTTGATATGTTTGATGGCCGTGTTTATTCCTTCGATCATTTTTAGAGTGACATCAAAAGGAAGGTTTGTGCGTTCCGCTGCGATGTCCGTTGGGTTCAATGGAGCTGGTCTATTTGAGAGTCTTTCAAAGTATTCTACTCACCTGTTCCTCTGTTCTTGAGTCTCAATGATTGGCTTCTCTTCTTTGTTCCTGACTAGTCGTTCTGATTTACTATATTTTCCAGCTTTAGTACTGTCGTTGATAGGCCTTCCACGCACTTCTGCTTGTCGACTCAAATGCTCTTTCTCACTCTTTTGTTTGCCTCTGTGTATTCGGTATTTTCCTTGACTCTCTTTGTTCTTGTTCGACTGTTATTAACTACTGCCTTTTTGTTTTTCCTTCCTTGAATGGTCACCAGGATATCAGAAGATATACAGTCTTTATGCTGGAATTTCTGGCGACTTAACAGCTCCTGGTATTTTGAAGCTAATGTCCTTATAATTCTTTAATAGTTGTTTTCCGTAGTAATTTCCTCTTCTTTTAACTATATTGTGATGCTTGTAACCTATTATATCTAATAAAGATCCATTTGTTAAATACGCAGTTATCCACAAACATTATACTTTCTAAAAACCTTCTAAAGATATAACTATTTTGAAGCATTTGTATGTCATAAACTTTAGTTGATCTTTGCTGTAAATTCACAATCATAAAGTGGATTATATTTATCGAAATTGATGTCAATACATTTTATTACATTGTAATAGAAACAAATATTTTAAAAGAACTACCATTTCATGACATCGGTTTGTAAGACCCGTGGGCTTGGTCAGGACATTCAGCCATGGGTTTTCGGCGCACATGTTACATATTGTCGAGGACAAGCCGAAAATAGAACGCAATCAGAGTTTTATGCAGAAATGATCCCTAAGACCTTTTGCATTTGGTTCACCTCCCTAAAGGACACCAGCATGTCCCAATTTATCCACGATTCAGATTACATTCACTCGCAATATTTTTTGCTTCCAGGCAAACAGGACAGGACGCCCTCGACCAAAAACTATCCCGCAAAACTTACCCAAATTGGACAAAATGTCCTCAGAATTGGGGAGAGTGGGAAGTTATGAAGCAAAAATCGATCCAATGTGCGCACTACGAAACAGAGAGAGCTAAATCAATATTCTTCGCAATGATTTTGTGGTTTTGCTGCAGCAAAAGACCACTTAAA